TGTGGGCTGCACAGTTCTAAACAATCGAAATGAATGTCCTTTAATTAACTCAGATAGTAGCAACCATCATTTTGATTTTGCCAAAAGAGAGCAGCGATAATGTTCTAACAAGTGCTTTGGAGTATGTTAATTAGCTGGCTTTTTCAACAAGGAGGTGTGCAATTATCTGATGCCACCCACTTCTGACAATTTAGAATGCAAAACTTGCCAAATTAGAGTGGAGTTGCTTCTAGCTGTCCTCTTAAAGTTTTTATTTAAAGTACTTTTAAATCAGAATGTTATCTTTCGGATCACTTTTAGGTCCAAGTCAGCAAACATTAAATAAAACTTGTTTTCTGTTTACTTTTTGTACAGTGCCAAATGTGTTTCCTGAGGGCTTAATTGAACTTAATTGAACATGGATGTCTGTATACTCAGACCTTTACATTTGTTGGCTTTCTTCGCAAACTGCAATGCTGTTGATGCAGGCTCCAGTTTACAAGCTGGTGTAAGTACAGAGAACTTACTCTGAAGACCTAACACATTGGACACTGACATTGGTGGTGGGTCCACAGACTGGAGCCAGGCAACCTATGTCCCTTTCCTATAATCGCAACTGTGACTTGAAATAGCTTCACTCCGAAAAGATAGGCAGAATCCAGAAGAAGCTGAAAAATCTACTTTTGTGTTTTGTCGGCTTGTTTGTTTATTACACTTCGTTATCACCTCATAGCCTACATGTTCTCTGGGCAGTTTACCAATTTAAAAGAACAATTTTGTTTTTGTTTTTTGTGCAGGTTGTAAAAAGTATCAGAACAGTTTTAAAAATATATTTACTAAAAATAGAGTAAAGCATGTAAAACAAGTTCATAGAGTGAAACAAATCACATGAGGCACCTTCAAAGGTGAAGCACATTAAACAACATTATACATAGAAAAAGGCTGTTGATTTTCTGGCTCCGTTGTTCAGACCATCTCTAATGCCAATGTCCTGTGTGTTAGGTGTGGATCTCTTCAGAGGAAATTCTGTGTGCCTAGACCTGCACAGTTTTCTGGCTTCCATAGAAAGCTTACAAGTATCTTTGTGTGTAACCTTGTCTTTCAGGTACCCTTGTCTAATATATGGCTTTCAAGGGCAAAAACAAGGAGCCATCTCAGCTTTAGGGCAGGATTAGCACCAATAATTGTTAATGGTAGTGATATGCAGGACCAGTCCTAATGTTAGGTACAGTGAAGTGCATGTTCCAGGGGGCAGATCCTGAATGTTTTTGGATAATGTTGGATGACAGAGCTCTGTGCTACATGGCCTGCTTGTGGCCTCTGAAGCTAGTGCTCTGTGTGGTGAAAGAAATGGAAACATGAACCGTTTTACTCTCAGATGGAACTTGGAGATGGGCCTAGTGCCACACAGAAGAATGAGAATATGATGGCATATTTCTGAGGTGGTAGAATAGACTGTATTGCTTCAGAGAGCAGGTGGGATTTTGAAGGCTGTCCTATGTAGTAATATACCTCGTACAAAAGTTCTTATGAAAGGTGAGCTTTCTACATTTTCATGTAGTAGAACATTCAGAAATATGAAATGTCACCTACAGTTTGAATTAGGACAGTCTTGCCATCTCATTTTATGTAGAGAAGACCTAAGAGTTATGTAATCACTGAACTGATTTGCATGATCACCACAGTCCTGCCATCTCATTTTATATAGACAAGACCTAAGAGTTATGTAATCACTGAACTGATTTGCACAATTCCCACAACTCTGGGTGTTTGTGTAAGCAGTGCCCGTGGTGGGTTACCATGATTTGTTATGCCATATGAACTCTGGGGGCAGGGCCTGTTTGAGGGTTAAACAACCTTCAAATAACCCTACAAAATACCATGGCCAATTGAGGGGTGTAGTGAACATGTGAATTGTTTCTTAGCTCCCAAGAGCTACTCCTGTCACAGAAATGACACAATAGACTGCACCTATTTCAATTGCCTGTGATATATCACATTTCCGAATGTTCTACATGAAAAAGGCTGAGAAGCAGAAGTCATAGTTTGTACAAAGATCATATAAACCTGTGTTTTGAGTTGTAGTGATGGTGTATCAGATTAGGATTAGATGACTCACATTTAGACCCCTGCTTTGCTGTGATCTTGGATCAGTCATGATCTCTCGGACTAACATACCTCATATGATTGTTTAGAGATTAAAAATATAGGGAAGATGCATGTATTCCAGCTTGAGATTCTTGGAGAGAAGTTATTATATGAACAGGTTAAACATTGTAGAGGCCTTATCCCTATAAAAGTCATGCACAATACAGAGGCACCCATGTTCATGAGAACAATTGTTTTCCTAAGGAAAAATATTGTTTTGTTATGGAAAAGCAAAGTACTATGATACCTTTATTAGGCCATCTCAGAAATCATAAAAATAGGCAAGCTTTTCAGATCTCTAGATTGCTTTCAGACAAGATGTTAACAAAGGTGTGCTGGTAGGCCTGACTGAAGACAGGTGAACTGGATATTCTTGTCAAGTAATCTGCATAGCTAGAGTCTTAAGATGATATGGGGAGCAAGTTCAGATGCGGTTTGAGCAGATAACATTATGAACAATCTGCAGTGTTCTTAGGATGCCCAAGAAAAAGGTATAGCGCACAATAGTAGATCCTGCATTTTCAAAAAAACATGTTGTTAAATTGTGTTTTATAGGAAGCTATTACCATGCAGAATGTGAAGAATGGCATCATTAATACTACTCCTTTACTTAGAATATACAGTTTATCACAGTTGTCCTTTTTTCTTTAATGCGCCTTGGTACATGGCTTCTGTATATCTATAGTCTGACAAGTAATAAAAGCAGTGGATACTGGATTGCATCACAATTGTAAAAAAAATAGTTTTTCCCAGACTGCCTACTTTCTTCATTCAGTAAAAAGCGAATACTTGAATCATTTTAAAGTAATGTTATAACACATGAACAAAGCAAATTAAAATCAGTTGTATTCCTCATCCTACAAATTTACTGACCATTGCAAATCCAGAGTCTGGCTTTCTTTCAAAAGTCGCTTTTCAGTCACTAAATACTTTCAAGTAGCACCGTCTGGATTCCCAGTATACATGATAATGTCAACAAAGAAACCTTGGCTGGAACTAATTGAATTAAGGCTTTATATTTCAATGATAAAACATCTCCTTGTCACCAAAGAATATGCTCACTAATGAAAAGTAGTTTGAACTTGGGTGGTTCAGATTTACATCACTAATTGTCATTTTACGTAATTGTGTTTCCTTCAGTTCCCTATTTCAGCTTTTCAATGTATTTCCTTGGGAATATCTTCACTTCAGTATGGATGCTTGCCAAATCAGGAAATATCTAGAAAGCCTTCCTAATGTAAGGCTTCTCAGAACTTATTATAAAAGTATAATAAGTAATACCCAGGAATTGAAGGTTTCTCAAGAAGGTATCATGAACTATTGGAGTTCATTTAATAACACCCATCCCACTAGATCCACCAAAAGTTTTCTGAAATAAAGCAACTTTTGCTCACCAGCAATAAAATAGGAACCCCCCCCCCCCAAAAAAAACAACAACAACAACAGAGCAATCTTTTCCATAGCCTAAACAGGTCCTCTCTTGGGGTACAACCAAATATACCTCTGAATTTGGTGGTGTTGAAATAAGTTCTTAAAAGTTCTTAAGAATTTGCAGTCTCATATGGAATAGGAGAGACTTTTAGATGGCCAGGTTCCAAGCCATTTGGCATTTTGTAGGTCATAACCAATGCTAGGAACAATAGATGGCAAAAGAAGAAGGCGACGGCAGAGGATGAGGTGGCTAGATGGAGTCACTGAAGCAGTTGGTGTGAGCTTAAGTGGACTCCGGGGGATGGTGGAGGACAGGAAGGCCTGGAGGAATGTTGTCCATGGGGTCATGATAGGTCGGACATTACTTCATGACTAACAACAACAACAAGGTCATAACCAGAACATGAAACAGACCAGTAGCAAGTGTTGTTGTTGTAGAAAGGAAACCACTTGTTCCTTGTAACCAGGCCTGGATGATGCAGGATAGCTGTTGAAATCTTTTATTGAATTCCAATGATTCAATACCAAATGAGTGGTCTTACCTCCATTTTGCAGCAGCTTGGACTACAGGTTAACACTGAACACCCTTTAATCAAATTATATGTTTCGAGGGGAGAATGTCTTAGTTGCTACCACCTGTAGAGCCTGGACCTAGAGCTATTCTAGAATCCAGCTGTAAGGGGGACAGGAGTGCATGGGGGTTCTCTGTCATAGGGGAAGGAAAGTCAGTCCTGAACTACTTTATTACTTGTTGCTTACCACGGGATTTTCTGAGTTTCCTGGGCAACCTGAAAAAAACAAGAAAAGGATTATCTGCCATACTTAAAAGGTGAGCAGGGACAGTTCAGCATTTTGTGCTCCCAAATATACCTGTTTCCATTTTTCTCCAGACTGGACTTGTGACACACCCTTTTACGTGAAGGATTGTGTTTCTGCTTATGGAACATTTGTCTACCACAAAATGAGGCATATGTTTGCTATAGAAGAAAGTAAATAACTCCTATTATATGTTCAGTGTTGGTGTGTGGGCAGGAAAAGTGATTTTGTAGTATCTCACTAATAGTTTAGAAAGAGCGAATTTCTTGAATGTCACTAGATTGTGCAATGAAACTATAACTGAACGTGGTTAAATGAGCATGCCAGTAGAACATGGATAAAAGAAACAGATGGAGCATGAAACACTGGGAATGTTAATTTGCTCACGATTCAGAATATTGTTAGCTAAAGGCAGCTATAATTCCAAGTGTCATGAATAGGTGGTCAGTTCACAGTGCCATATTCACTCTATATTCTGGAACTGTGTCTCTGAGAAACTGTAATTGTGTGCCTTCTTATCTTGCTATTCATGTTTTCCGTAAACAAATCTTCAAAGTTCTGTCTGTGGAAATGAGACTGTGGTGTCTTCTTTCTTCCTGACATTTTTGTCCAATGATTCTTTTTAGTGTCTGGAGCCCTGCAAAGAATCCTGGGATCTGAAGAAAAATCACTGCCAAAATTTCTGTGAGGTATGCCATTCCTGAAGGACACTTTTAAAATTCTGTGTCATTTTCATTAAAGGCTTGACTGGTCACACTTAACTAAAGCCAACCAAGTTGGGGAAGGCTGATTTAAATGGTCAAGGCAAGATAAACAACTGATTCAAACATGCATACAATCATGTGGTAATGTGGCACAAGAACCATTGCTACAAACCATCTGCACCTCAAGGTGTCTTGTAGGGATAGTTTGGGCCAAGGCTTGGTTGGAAGTCTTCTCATTCACCTCTTGAAGGAAAACTCTGATGTAAGTGCACTTTTAAACAAGTGATGTTTCCATGTGATTTCTGAGGTACTCTAGTCATGGAACCGGAAAACAAAAATCAGCTTGTTTTCTGAGTACCTTTGTTTTGAATCAGTTTTCTGCTTAATCTAACTTAGAATTCTTTTTAAATACAGATGTGCTCATAAGATAAGAGGAGGCCTAAATATATACTTGGCAGATTCAAATATTTGGATATATAACAGAAAGAAAGGATTGCTGTTACACAGAATGTGGCATTATATAAATTGTATAGCTTTGCTTGCAAGTTAGTTACACTTCTTTAAAAAGGTTCAAAAATACTCCTTCTGGAATTCTACCAGAATAATGATAATTGTCACACTGACAAGAGTGAACTATAAATAGAAAGTAAAGATGTTAGGTTTTTGAGATGTTGTATAAAAAGTTGGCAGAGAACAGAATAAACGCTTCCCAGTTATAGTGAGGTCAATGGTTTGGCTTTGGCTGGTGTTCCTTTCCTTACGACATCCCTGTTCAATTAGTGATTTCTAGTTCACTAAACTTGGAACTTAAAAAGCTGAAAGTAAAGACTTGCACATTTAACAGTTCACTGAAAAAATAAGCTGTGAACTAGAGTGAAGAAGAGCTTCAAAGGCAAGTTATGCCTCAAGGGACTATAAATGATTTTTAATTAACTAGCTGAAAATTTGTGATGTTTCATATAAGCACACCATCAGACATGTACACCTGCCTATGTATCATTCCCGAGATAAATCACAAATATCAGATGCATTCCGTTTTGATTAACCTTTGCCCTTGTCAGCTGCAATCACAAATTAATCGCCAGTTTCTCTTTATTCAGCATGAAAGCAACTGACCACTTAGCTATGGTAATGATTCGAGAAGTAAAAATGAATTAAGTAAACTCAGAGTGTGTCCACAGTTTCCATTTCCTAGAAATAATCCTGCTAGACTTCACAGCTTTACCAGTCTTTGCAGGTCAAAGATGCTCCGCTGTCACACGTGATAATCCAACAAAATATCTGATGAAATTGTGTTGTGTCTGTAATTGTGTCATTGCTGCGTGGCTGTGACTGGCTGTTAGGATCAGTGGATAACAGCCCCTGTGCTAAACCACTGATTGCCAAAAGGACACTTTTGAACAACTTCTTAGCAAGCTTTATGTGGAAGGCCTGGTGGAGGCAAATGGGTTAATTCAAGAGATAGGGTATATGTTGTAGCTGATGTTTTAAAGTGGTAGACAGCTATACAAATCTTCAAGTGTGGTCCTATACTAGCTGGAAATCCTGACCATTCTTTCTTGTAATATCTTAAAAGGACTGCTATTGATGGTGTTGTGTGATTGCCTTGTTTTCTCTTCAGCCTCTTTTCCCCAAGAAGAACTATGAATGCCTAACCAGCTGTGAATTCCTCAAGTACATCCTGTCGGTGAAGCAAGGAGACTGCCCAGCCCCGGAGAAGGCCAGTGGCTTTGCGGCTGCCTGTGTTGAAAGCTGCGAGTCTGACAGCGAGTGCTCTGGGGTGAAAAAATGCTGTTCTAATGGATGTGGACATACATGCCAAGTACCAAAAAATCTGTACAAAGGTAGAGATTATTAATAGCCTTTTGAGAGCAAAGTAAGCAGAGAGAGAGAGAGAGAGAGATGGTTGACTAGGGAGAAAGCAGCCTGCACCCACTCCTCATTTTAGAGCAGGAATATGTGCTTTGGTGGAGAATGGAAAATGGATGCGTCAGGTGTTTTTGAAGAATGGAATAGAGAAAATGGTGCCAGCTGCTTAACCATAGCTGGGGATTCACAAATGGGTGTATAAGATCTCTCTGTCTCTCTATCACATACACACACTTCTAAGTGCCCCTTACATATCTGTTTTTCCACCATGCTTACTTTGACCATATTTGCTTGTTCCAGGGTTAAGTAGGTATAGAGGCTAAAAGAAGAGAATGTATATCATTGGAAAAACTGACTTAATATCTTTAACACTTTGATCTTTCTGAGTATTTACTGATATGCTTCGAAACATCAGCATGTTGCACATATTTGGTGTAGCATATCTACTCAACTTGCTGCAGAATTTTCCACTGTCTAAATTTAGAATTTATCCCAGTAACCCTTTCAGGTTTTTGAATGCTGTTTGAAATAGCAGTTAGCAGACTAACCTATAGCAGTATAAAACAACACAGTGGACATTAGCATTTAACAAGGTTAGGGTTTCTGTTGTTTTTGTTTGACCTGAGGTTATTTAAAATAATGTATTTTGCCTTATAAGTATTTCAGACTGAAAGTCAAGCAGGTTGTTCTTGGCATTCCTGAAGTTAATTCACTTGGGTCTACCAGCTTCTGTAGGAGTGTGCTGAACTCCAGAGACTAAATAAAGATCCCACCTCCCATATCACCCCAGTACAAGTCCAAAGTGTATAAATTTGCCTGTAAGGCCATGCCCTTTGGACTTATTTGTGCTACAGCAATGGATATGAATCTTTTGTATAATAAAAAGCACATTTCTAAACTGAAAGTGTACATCTGGAAGATGACATGAATGATTCTGGTTGCACTGGAATATTCTAAAATGCACTTGTGCTATGCTCTACTTGTCTGTACTCATGAGATCCATCTGCACACAATTACAACCACCATAGGGGCTGAGTTAGTTCCAATCAAGTGAATCCAACTGGCCCTAATGCAAAGCAGATGGATTGTTTTAGTATGAAGATTGTAGGATTATTGTACAAAATGAATAAACAAGGATTTTTAAATATCGGAAAAAACCCTACATACTTAGTACTATTAGTTATATTACTTATAGGCTGAGGTACATTCATTGATAGCCAGAATTAAACTTATGAACCCCTGGATTTGGATGACATGCTTCATTCTTATTCTCTCTCTCCCTCCTATAATAGATTATGTAACTGGAACACTTTGGAGGAAGAGTTTGTTTTTAGATCTCTTGAAAAGGCAGTTTGTTTATTCAAGAAAGTGTAGAGGTTGGAAAAATAAACTTCAGATTCTCTTGAATTTGTAAACCATGCTGGATATGATTTAAGTAGTTCACACAAATATCTAACAATAGTCCAGTAGGTCTGCAGTTGCTTAAAGAAACAGACAATGTATTTAGATATATGTAAAGCAAGACAACTCCAGTGTTGACCTCTCAGAACAGAACTACATGTTATGAAAAATGTGTGTCAGCTGCCAGAGCCTGAAACTCTACGTTAAGTTCTTCTCATTTTTTGGCAATGTACAGTAAACTTAGCTGTGAACTTTCACCACACTATTGGGCCTTTCCTCATCATGAGTAGCACTAATGTTGGAAATATGCAGGAAATCATGTTTTATAAGGACTGGGTTAGAAGAAGTTGGGGAGGGATCTTGGAATCAGATCACTGTTTCACGGACATTCCCCATGTTAATTGTGATATGGCGTTCATTCAGGATTAAGTTAGTCTTAACTGAACCTGGGTATACTAATATGTATTGGTTAAAATATGTATTGCATAGAAATGTACCACAGTTGCTTCACTCATATGTTCTTCACTTCATATGTGAACTTTTCCTCCTTTTATCCCAGATTCTCACACACAAGTTGGCTGCAATTTTCCCATACAAGCCCTGCCATGTTCTTTATCACAAGGAGAGACATTGGTGTGAAACCTGGTTATGCATGGAAACAAAATACAATAGTCAGCCACCTTTTCCACTAGTGATGCTTTTTGCAATCTATAATGGCAGAAATGTCTGCTTGGCACCGGTAGCATAAATCTGTGTACAGTCTGCTTCATGCTTAATTTTCTTCGCAGAATGGCTGGTTTCCTTGTATGATCTTGATCGGTAATCCTGTTTAGTCAAATATGGTAGGGTAGCCTATAGCTAAATGAGTTTGGCAGCACATACATTTTTCTGTATGTGCTATTCTAATTCCATTCTAATCGAGTCATCCTTGGTCCACTTCACCTGAAAGTAATGTTAGAAAATATTATAAGGATGGATCTCCTTAGGCTTCCTTAGACTGAACAGTAGAAAAGATAGATTTGATCCACAACTACTTTCAGTATTTAACTAAACTACCTGCATGCTGCTTCTTGTTTTTCATTGCTGTATTTCAGGTGTCCCTTTGAAACCCAGAAAAGAACTAAAATTTAGTGAACTTCAGTCTGGACAGCTGGAAATTAAGTGGTCCTCAAAATTCAATATCTCAATTGAGCCGGTGCTTTATGTGGTACAAAGGAGATGGAACTATGGGATTCATCCCAGTGAGGATGATGCTACCAGCTGGCAAACAGTAGCTCAGGTCAGTCCTTTATGTATGTCTCTGAATTGTTTTTTGCCTTTCTTTTTTGAGCCTTTGTATTGTGGGGCTGGTGCATTCTGCTGGATTTGAAAGCAAGCATTTGTTCCATTCACTTCAGAGAACAGAGCTGTCCTTACCTTCTTTCCAAGTTCAAAGCAGAGGCAAATCATCTTGCTTTGCCCTTGCACCTGCCTGGTGATCTGCCTGAAAGACATGCAGGCAAGCCAGCATGCTTCGACCTTTTGCTTGGAGCTGGACATAGGAGAGCAGAGACCAGTGTGTGTTTGTGCTTGTAAATACAGAACTGTTATAGATCCTGGTTTCTGCAGAACTTTGAGTGGAGTTAATCATCCTCCACAAAGCTCTGGGGTTGGGAGGAAGCCTTGGACATATTTTCCTTGGCAGAGCATGACCAGTCTCTTGTCACAATGAAGATGGAAAGTAAGATTGTTAAGCCTGGTATTAATTCATATATAGCTTGTTTTAGTATAATATATGTTTGCATATATTTTGCCTGATCTTGCAAGAACTCTATAGGGTGGATTCCACGTGCGCGTGTGTGTAACAGCAATAATGGTGGGGTAGATTTCTATTAGTTCCATATTACAAATGGTAAGCTGAAGATAAGATAGTAAAAGAGCTTTCTTTATTTACTAAATAGGGTTAGGCCTAAGACTGCTAAACTACCATTCTTTGCATATAAATTCCCTTGGTGATTTGTCAGTTAAAGAGCTTTGGCCATCAGTCTATGGAGGAGAAAAGTATAACTGTCATTAGTCCTTACAAAATGATTTGATATAAAATGGTTCATATGGATGCAAACTGCATATCACAAGTAAGGATGGAATAGCTCCATTGTAGCTCACACACTTGGCATACAGAAAGTCCTTGGTTCAGTCCCTGACATAAGTTGGATTAGATGATAAGAAACACCCTACCTGAACCCCTGCCAGCTGATTCAACTATCGCTAAGAGTAGATCAATACTAGGCTATTAGCACAAATTATCCAAGTTGCTTCCAAGATAAAGATAGCTTCCAAGGTTTTGTAAAGTGGAAGAAGAACTTCTTGTCTTAAATAAAGGAACATCCATAAAACCAAGAAATGCATGATTCTGAAATTAACTCTGCAAGTAAAAGAGTTAATTTCTAATTAACTAATAACTAATATTCCCCTGCAGACCACAGATGAGAGAGTACAACTGTCTGACATCAGACCCAGCAGATGGTACCAGTTTCGAGTAGCTGCCATTAATGTGCATGGAACAAGAGGTTTCACAGCTCCCAGCAAGCACTTTCGTTCTTCAAAAGGTTTGTTTTCCTTTTCCACATTGCATCATCACCTTACATTGGATCATCTGTGGAATGAAACTTAGTCCTCTTAAAATTTCCAGGTGATTGTTCCTCTATTGAGTTGTTTCCCTAATGAATGGGGTCAGCGTTTCTAGATTTTTTTTTAAAATGCCACCACATATTTTTTCGGTGCCACTGATGTTTTGTCCTGTAATGGATCTTTGAATGAATGAGTCTCTCATTTCAATCTCTTTCAACATAAATAGCAACAGTCGAGGTTCCTTTTATTGTGGCATTGTATGTGAACATCAGACATGAAGGATCTGAGACTCTTGTTATCTGTTGGGCAGTATAATGCTGATTGACTTGTGTTTAAGCTCATATGTTTTTAGTGATTCAGACTTGTCATTTTAAGAAATAAGAAACATTATATATCAGGAATCCTTTATCTGTGTTTTTATAAAGGTATGCACTATCAATCAGGTGCATGAAGTCACAGTAATTGTCCTATGTAATTGTACAATTAATTGCACCTCATTCTGTTTTATTCCAGACATCTATTCTATTTTTCAGCTGCATATCCTGATAGAAGCATGTTTCACACATGATAAAAGATCAGGATAATGTCAAGGCACAATGTTTTCTTTAGTTTGAGACCTTTATTCATTCATATATTTATTGCATTTGTATACCACCCCATAGCCCATGTGGTGGTCTGGGCAGTTTACAGAATAAAGATAGCTAACAAGAATAAAAAACACTTCAAATAAATTAAAACCAATCACCATATTGACAACTCCTGGTGATTAAAAATTAGCATATGGTATAAAACAGTTCATAGAAAAACAGTTTATATTTTTATAAAAATCCATCTATCTATTAAAATACCTGCTGAATGAAAAAGGTCTTTACCTGGTACAAGAAAGAGAGCAATGACTGTGCCAGGCCCACCTCTTTACAAATATTACAATGTAATAAAATAGAACTTAAAACAATAGAATTATTAGAGAAACAGGTACAAAAAGCAAAAGTAGCTATGTGGAGCCAGGGCAGCAACTTTCACCTTGACCTTTCAAGGTGGCTTGGGAGACTTTTTGGCTGGAATGCCCTCCCCTTCAAAATAAACAAATTAATAGTTAATGGTTAAATAATGGTTACAGATCCATAGTATGATGATATGTTAGGCCAACCAAGATGTCAGAAAATTTCTGAGATCTTCATTAGGCTAGATTTTGGACATTAAAAGCATGGGCTCTGCATTTAGGCACAGTCTTATGCAGAGGTATAGCACATGATTAAATTGGGCCCTAGTATATGTATTTATTTTTTATGTTTGATTTTATTTAGCAAACTTATCTGCTGCCACATTCGCCGAAGCCTCGGGGTGGCTTACAAACATAAATAAATAAGTATCATTAATATAATTATATAAAGTGAGAGACATCCTGGCCAAAGTTGTTAAAATCAATAAATAAAATCAACAATTAAAATGACATTTAAATAAAAAGGTCTTGGCCTGGCAATGCTCTCACCTGCTGCTCTGTGCAAGGTGCTGTGCACCTAGGGCTGCTGGGACAAAGAAACAATCAGTGGTGGAGTCCCACCTTTTGAAAATAGAAACCATCCAGATTCCTTCAGGTAGTTAATAAGCTAGATTCTTATAGGTAAGTAAAAGTCTTGTTTATGCCGTTGGTATGTTCCCGTATTCTGCTTCTATTAAATTCCCCTTATGTGGCTGCATAGCTTGCTTCTGGCCTACGAAAGGTATGGTAACAGATGTTTTCTTAATCCACTTGGCCTATCTGATCAACACTTTTCATGTGTAGTATTCTACAAAAATATTATTCAATTCCCATAAAGAACAAGCCATTACTTTGGTATAAAGTCATGATCACATCCAGAGTAACAGACTACAGTAGTAGTTATCTTCTTGAGTTTACAATTTTTCTTTATCTCTTAAATATTTTTAAAAGGAAATTCAAATTACACTAATGAACTCTACATCATTTTCCAATACTCATAAAGCAAACCTGGTCCTGTATATGCTGAAAAATGATGATGATTTAGGAAAGGTGCATAGGATAAAATCGTATTAGGTGACTCAGACTTCACAAAATGTTTTATTTTTTCTTAATATGCTTATTAACAAGCACTAGCTTTAATATTATTGAGAAAGGCATTTTGTCTAGCTTCCGCCATTCTACCTGTTCATACATTTCCTGGATCTCAATTGCAGTGCGTTTGTTTTCTTTTACATTAAAAACATGATGCTCTTTCCCCCTAGTAGGCCCCTGTTCATGATTATGTGTGTGTACAGTTCTGAGAAAAGATCCTGTGTCTTATCATTAGACACTAGAAACTGGTAAAAGGTTTTCTATTCCTGTGGTGTCATCAAGCCCTGATGGCCACAGAACAGGATGCAATACGGAGTGGCAGAATCTATTCCTGCTGCCGCATCCTGGATAAAATCAGGTGAAGGGTAGTGAGGGTAAGAAAGCCCTGTCTTGCCAGCAGAGCCTGCTGTCTGAATTACCTTTCATGATGAAGCCAATAAAACCCACACTTTATTTTCTTTCTGAAATGCGTCTAGTTGAATTAAAACATTTCAGGAGTTTAGAGAATTTTTGCTGGTTTAAATGTATTTTGTAATAAACCTTAACAGAAATAAAGTACTAAAATATGTGTACAGAATGAAATTCAAAGTCATACTCATAAAGTTACAACATAGATAGGACAATTATCCAAGTAACCGATCAGGTAAGAATCAAAATAAATTTAAAATGACTTTCGTGGAGCCATAATCAAGAAATTGACTTGTTGAAGAACAGCAGTTGTGTCTCTCTTTAGAAGTACTCCTAAATGTGGTTTGTGTTATTTCAAGGCTCTGATTATGTTAATTTAACAAACATTATACCTTTTGGCTGGAATGCAAGCATTTTACAGCACAAACCTTTAAAAGTCTAATCATTTGTCAGTTTCACTGAATTCAATTGTTCATATTCCCAGGAAACTGTATATAGGATTGTTGCCTATGACCCCATAGTTAACAAAAGGAATAAAAATATTGATAGATTTAATTGGTATTGTAGAGAGATTAAATTATTGATCTAGAAAATGGAAGATGTGGTATTGCCAAATAACATTTTTGCTGTAAAGGAAACCAATCCAACAGCTGTATACTGGGTTTATTCTTCTTTATATCATTCACAAATGCCTTTAAGATCATTTTTATGGATCTAAAAATGGTATCTGTAATATAATCAACAGAAAGAAGCTGTGGAATAAAGTTACATTGATAGTCATATGTCACTACTAACAAAGGATATCAACTTTGTTTGCTTTACTAATTCAGTGAAACTTAGAGCTCAAACAATGAGGGAGAGAAATATGGTTGTGTATTAATTCCTTGTCTGTTTAAATGTTTTGTAAATAACATATTAGCTAGTTTTTATGAAGATTGGCAGGTGCAAACTGAATAGCATACTGTTTCGTTCTCATACACAAATAGGTTTATGCAGCCAACTAAAGTATGCCAGTGTTTTCAAAACTATTACGTTCATTTTCATAGTCTATTTAAATACTGTTTTAAGTCTGTGTTTTTGCAATCTGATATCCATAACCTGCAGTGCCCTGATTCTCACCAGATAGGACATGTTAATTTTACTGCTTGCAATTGTTAGTTGTTCTTTCTTCTGATTTAGATTGGAAAAGCCATCTTGACCTTATTAAATTGAAAATGGACCAGTCTCCCATGCTGGGCCAGTTACTGGGGTAAATTAATTTGCCTCATTTTGGAAACATTAGATTCCAAGCGTTTCCCCACAAGCAGTGTAAGAAAAATATCTTGGGCTATTGAGAGTCATGTATATATTTAACATTCTGGGTACAATACTAGGTTCCCTTCTATATCATAACATCAAAACCAGGTCTTTTCCAGTGGAGATGAAAATATTTATATATTAAACTATTAGAATAAAGCTATTAAATACAATGGTTTACTGAGAATCTGCTCAAACAAGTGTGATAAAACCATGCTGCTAAGAACACAAACTCTACATACAGTGGTTCAGATCCTAACAAACATGTTAGAGTTCTGCTGCTAGTGAATTCTAGGTAGTCTGATCAAGTGGTTTATGCAATCTACAGTAAGGTTTCTAGTGTGCAGGACAGCTTTCTTCATTGTGTATTTATGGCCTTGGTAAAATTGAGAGTCCATCATGATTTAAGTCATAGTCATTCTTAAAGGTGCATCTAATCCTGACTAAAATGTAATGGGATTTAAGTATGTTTAAATTGCTGGAAAACAGCCACCCACTGTCCGGAGAACCTTCTTTGTTCAGTATTCTGTCAACCTTGACTGTGTGTGTGCTTCTAAACCTGTTGTAAAATCTGAACACATTTCTGCATGTTATCTTGGTGCAGTGCACAAGGCTCTTCGGTAAATCCGAACCTGTTCACTGGATCAAGAAAACAGGGCACCCTCTTCATCTCATTTCACTTGAGGTAAGGGAGATGAAATGAAATGAAATGGTCATCTTACACTAGTATTAGTATTATTATATTACATTCACACTCCACTTACCTTCCTATGACAAGGAACGCAAGGCAGCTTACCAGTTTCTTCTGCTCTTTTCAGCTAATATCCTCACAGCAAAAACACTGCAACAGATCTCCGAAAACCAACACTCTAACCACCATGTTACTAGAAGGAATAAACCTAGACTAGAAGGAATTAAATAAACTAGAAGGAATTTGCCTTCTTATTCTTCCTGTTTCACAGTTTTATTCCAGGCATCCTTCAAGGAGCAGAGGATGGTACAAGTGTACATGGTGTCTTTCCCCCCTCCACTTTCTTATCTAGATAAGACTCTTGAATTTTGACTTTTTAGAAGTAAGTGCAACAGAATGATTTAATATAGGTACCAATAAAACATTTTTGGAGATGCCAGATAAATTCATCAGAAAAATCAAGTGCAATTTATTAAGATGACCTTCTTGAATAAGACAAAGATGTGCAT